TCCGGGTCCACTGGTGGAAGCTCTTCTAACCGGTTCGGTAGATTTGACGAACCGGTTCTACCGAATAGGTGCAAACTGGTAGGAACCCACCTCTGCTTCTGTCCCTGTCTTACTCTCCCCATTTATTTGTACTCATTTCCTTTGTTCATGTCCATGTTTATGTTTATATTTGTTCATGTTCGACAAACTAAAAATAAATAAATAAATAAAAGCCCGTTGGAGTTGAGCAGCTTTTACACTCAAATAGAATAAAATAAAATAACTCAATAAAATAATTCGGGGTTGAGCCGTCATCTGTGGATCAAATCCACAGTCAAACAGTTGAAGGAGGTCCTAGGAAAGGAATCAGCTGGGAACGCTTTGAAATACAATTGCAACCAGCCAAGCTAAATTGTTTATCCCCCCACTTTTGGCAGAATAAATACATTTCAAAGTGTGCTTTTTTTTTTAAAGCGCGCACAGACACAGACACACAGACACACACACACACACACACAAACTAGTCAACATTCCTGAACAGCCCTCTAAATCCAAGCTGGTACCATGAACAAGAATGCCAAAAGAGATACACAACAGATGCAATTCTGAAAGAAAAAAATGCAGAAGGTTTTTACAGCCAGAGGGTGCATTGCAAAGCATGAGACCTCCAGTTCAAGTTGTAAATCTGAGCCTGCTTCTATCCTCATGAAACAATGTGGGCCGAGCGGGCTTGAGAAGAAAGGCTGGAGCTGGAAGGGTTAATATGTCAACAAAAGGCTGTTTTTAATTCCAGCCTGTGTCTCCTGATGCACTCGGGGAAAAAAATCTGTCCCGCAATGCTGAAATCCTAAATTGCTAGTGCCCTCCCTCCCCCCTCCCTCCCTGCAACATTTCAGTCTGCTGTTAGTAACCCCTCAGCATGTGCAAGATTGAGGCTGAGCTTTAAAAGAGGGGCTTGAGCACAGGGGCCTTTGTACCCGAGAGGCAAAACATTAAGAACCTGTGGAGAAGGAACTCAGAAACCCTGGAGGCCCCGGGAATGAGACGAGACAAAAAGCCTCTTACAGCCTTGGAAATCACCCCACTGCGGTTATTTTATTTACTGCAGCTGCTGAGGGGGACTGTTTCACTTTGCACAAAAATTTCTAAACAGTGGGATCAGGATTCTTCTTCTTCTTCTTCTTCTTCTTCTTCTTCTTCTTCTTCTTCTTCTTCTTCTTCTTCTTCTTCTTCTTCTTCTTCTTCTTCNGCCCCAACACTGGAAGTCTTTAAGAAGATGTTGGATAGCCATTTGTCTGAAACAGTATAGGGTTTCCTGCCTAGGCAGGGAGTTAGACTAGAAGACCTCCAACGTCCCTTCCAACTTTGCTATTGTATTATTGTATTGTACTAACTTAACAACTGCTGTGATTCATTGAACAATTGTGCCAAGAAAGGGCATAAAATGTGGGAAAGTTGGCTTAACAACTGTTCCACTTAGCCACAGAAATTTGGGACTCAATGGTGGTCGTAAGACGAGGGCTATCTGTAGCATACCCTACTGTCCAGGAGAAACTAACAATAGGAGTTCCAAATTCCCTTCCTTCCTACGAAGGGCCAGTGGTGTTATTGAAATTCCATCATCCTTTGGAAAGAACATGAATAGATTTATTCTATATGTTTAAACGATTGTGATTGGTACTAGAACTGTACATTGAAACATTGAATAATGAAAGAATGAAGGATGAAACTTTAATATAAACAGATGTGAAGAGTTAAATAAGGAAAATATGAATAACAAAGCAGGGGAAAGATGGAAAATAGAAAAGAAAAATCTTTGAATATTACGGTGATAGGAAAAAAAAGTTAAAATAGAGATAGAAATAAGGGGGAATAATAGTATATACATATTAATATAACAAGATATATAATAACAAGAGGGAGGTTAATAAACTGAAGGGCAGTATTATTAGGTGTGTTTAAACAATTTGAAACAAAGAAAATGAAATGTAATAATATTATGAGGGACGTGGTGGCTCAGTGGCTTAGACTCTGAGCTTGTTGATCAAAAGTTCAGCAGTTCGAATCCCTAGCCCTGCGTAACGGAGTGAGCTCCCATTACTTGTCCCAGCTTCTGCCAACCTAGCAGTTCGAAAGCATATAAAAATGCAAGTAGAAAAATAGGTGGGAAGGTAACCATGTTCCGTACAACTTCGCCGTTTAGTCAGGCCGGCCACAAGACCACGGAGACGTCTTCGGACAGCGCTGGCTCTTTGGCTTCGAAAGGGAGATGAGCACCGCCCCCTAGAGTCGGGAACGACTAGCACATATGTGCGAGGGGAACATTTACCTTTAACAATATTATGTCTATTTGTATCAAGATGTATGATACCCAGGTATCACACTATTCACACAATATTATATACATACACACACACACACACATATATATTTGTGGGTTTTTTTGTGCTGATAAATAAACAGCACAAAAAATCCCCACAAATATAACAAAGGCAACAGTAAAAATATTGGGTTTCTGTCGTGATGGACTCTTGTGACGAGCCGATTGACAGAGAATGGAAGCAGTTAGCNGTTCTACCGAATAGGTGCGAACTGGTAGGAACCCACATCTGCAATGGCTTCTAAAAAAGCTTTAGAAGATGATGGCCAGGGACCAGGACCATACTATTCCCTTTCCAAATACCATGCCCCCACCCTCCCCGTTTCTATGGCAGCCAATAGCAAGCAAGCAAAGCAGAGGCTGACATCCGGCGCTCCTTCAGAAAGGACATCACCCCTATCAAATCCAAGGCTTATCAGGACACCTGGCGTAGAACCTCCGTAAAAGTCTGGGAGTCCTAACATCGGATTTGTTCACTCCTTCAGCCTGGGAAGGGGGAAAATGTGTCCTGTACAAAAAATACAGGTTTACACCAATATCGGAGGAAATAATGCTAGGGGAAACTATATCTTGAACGTGGGTTTCCTACTGGTTAACCATCATAGATAGAGGTTTAAGAGGGCATTTCCAGCTGGCTGGATACTTGAAAGCTGTGGCCATTATCAACACTTAACTTTACAGTCTTCGGTGGTTTATTAACTCCCAACAGATTCTGTAGAGGTTTCCTTCCAAATTTGCATAACTTAGGACTGCAGTTTGGACCGAGTAACTATTGGTGTTTCTTTTCTTCCAGGAATCAGCTTAATTATATCACAGAAGAGCTTAAAAATCCTTACAGGTAAGATGGGAGAGAGCAACAGCGTTTTATTTGGATAACAGCAGGAATTGAAAAATGGACTTTTCCATCCTGTTTTGAAATAACAGCAGTAGCACTTAGACTTAGATAATGCTTTATAGGATTTTACAGCCCACTCTAAGCGGTTTACAGAGTCAGCAAATTGCCCCAAATAATCTGAGTCCTCATTTTACTGACCTCAGAAAGAGGGAGGTCTGAGACAACCTTGAGCCGGTCAAATAAGTTGCATGTCATGTAGGGCAGCTATAAACATTGAGGAAATAAATAAATGCAAGGTGGGCCACACAGCCAGTGTGAACGTTCTGTGGTCCAACCTCTTTTTTATTACAATAAATCTGCATAGTCTGAATCAAAGAGACGGGGGTGGCGGCGCAGTGGTTAGAATGAAGTATTGCAGGCTGACTCTGCCCACTGACAGCAGTTCAATCCTGACCGGCTCAAGGTTGACTCAGCCATCCATCCTTCCGAGGTGGGTAAAATGAGGACCCAGATTGTTGGGGGCAGTAGGCTTACTCTGTAAACTGCATAGAGAGGGCTGTAAAGCACCGTGAAGAGGTATATAAGTACTAATGATGTTGCTATTGCTATCTGCAAGAATCTGAGGACTGCCTTAAGTGACTTGATGTATCTTTTGAATTGGGTAAACCCAACTTACTAGCAATAGCAATAGCAGTTAGACTTATATACCGCTTCATAGGGCTTTCAGCCCTCTCTAAGCGGTTTACAGAGTCAGCATATCACCCCGAACAACAATCCGGGTCCTCATTTTACCCACCTCGGAAGGATGGAAGGCTGAGTCAACCCTGAGCCGGTGAGATTTGAACAGCCGAACTGCAGAACTGCAGTCAGCTGAAGTAGCCTGCAGTGCTGCATGTAACCACTGCGCCACCTCAGCTCTACTTTGGAATTAATAAAAAGTATGAATATGAATTACTTTGAATGAAAATTAATAAATTGATGAATAACTCAGCCCATCAAAGATTAGAAGATGGTATCTTTGGAATTCCTGGAGTGGCTAAATCAATAATCTTTGAGGGTATGAAAACGTGAAGTAGGAATGAAGTAGGAACGCCTTTTCTGTAATAGCAATATTTGAGCAACATCTAAAGAACAAACCTTATCAACTTCACTAGGCGGTAGAGGGCATTATCTATAAACCAAGTTCCTTTTCTTTATAAATAGTGTTTGTTCAGCTGCAGGAGGTGTTTGACTAACAAGCTTTCATGTACACATGAATTAATGCCACGTATTTTCCCATTATTTAGAAATCTACCACTCGCTATAATAATTGGAATCCCTCTGGTCACGGTGTGTTATATTCTGATCAATGTTTCTTATTTCACCGCCATGACAGCCACAGAACTTTTGCAGTCTCAAGCGGTTGCAGTGGTAAGTATCATACGGAATTGCACGGACCAAAAATTCTTTATAAAAAAAAGAAAAACAAATTGTAGAATAGAATAGAATAGAATAGAGGTACGGTGGGTTAGGTTAGAGTAGAGTTGGTTAGAGTAGAGTAGAATAGAATCAAATAGAATAGAATATAGAAAATAGAATAGAATAGGAAAGAATGGAATGGAATGGAATAGAATAGAGAAATGGAATGGAACAGAACAGAATAGAATAGGAAAGAATGGAATGGAATAGAATAGGAAAGAATGGAATATAATATAATATAGAGAATAGAATAGGAAAGAATGGAATGGAATGGAATAGAATATAGAGAATAGAATAGGAAAAAATGGAATGGAATAGAATATAGAGAATAGAATAATATAGTATAGAATAGAATAGAATAGGAAAGAATGGAATGGAATAGAATAGAACAGAATAGAGAAATGGGAATAGAATAGAATAGAATATAGAGAATAGAATAGAATTCTTTATTGGCCAAGTGTTATTGGACACACAAGGAATTTGTCTTTGGTGCAGATGCTCTCAGTGGACATAAAAGAAAAAATACATTCGTCATGAATCATAATGTACAACACTTAATGATAGTCATAGGGTACAAATAAGCAATCAAATCATACTAGGAAACAACAATATAAATCGTAAGGATACTACAAGCAACAAATTTACAGTCCAGCAGTCATAAGTGGGAGGAGATGTGTGATAGGAACGATGAGAAGACTAATAGTAATAGTAATACAGCCTTAGTGAATGGTTTGACAGTGTTGAGGGAATTATTTGTTTAGCAGAATGATGGCATTCAGGGGAAAACTGTTCTTTTGTCTAGTTGCTCTGGTGTGCAGTGCCCTATAGCATCGTTTTGAGGGTAGGAGTTGAAACAATTTGTGTCTAGGATGCGAGGGATCTGTAGATATTTTCACAGCCCTCTTTTTGACTCCTGCAGTATACAGGTCCTCAATGGAAGGCAGGTTGTAGTCTTCATAGCTATCTGTTGTGTAGCTGTGATTCTTTATGGGCGAGATATAACATGTGCACACATTCGAACTGAACTGTGTGGATTCTCCAAAAGCAATCTTTTGGGGGAGACAAACTTGATCAAATATACCATAATAGCTTATATTTATATCCAAGGGCTGGGCATCTGATCATCTGGAGAACCTATGCCAGTTCGCACCAGTTTGGTAGAACAGGTTCGTCAAATCTACCGAACCGGTTAGAAGAGGTTCCACCAGTGGACCCGGAAAGCAGGCCATACCTACAGAAGAGGTTGCAAAAAAATTTGAAACCCACCCCTGACACATACACACACACACACACACAGAGGGAGAGAGAGAGGGAGAGAGAGAGAGAGAGAGAGAGAGAACACATGGCAGACAAGCCACTCCCACAAAGGAGGCCACGCCCACAGAGTAGGTTCAAAAAATTTTTGAAACCCACCACTGCTATGAAGGGGCTGTTTGGGGGCAATGCTTTAGTACAGATAGTCCTTGTCTTATAACAGCTCATTTAGGGAGCACTCAATGTTACAACGGCACTGAAAAAGGTGACTTATGACCGTTTTTTCACATTTATGGCATTGAAGCATCCTGATGGTCATGTGATCAAAATGGAGATGCTTGGAAACTGGCTCCTAATTAGGACGGTTGCAGTGCCCTGAGGTCATGGGTATCCCCTTTTGCGACCGCAATGTTAACGGGGGAAGCCAGATTCACTTAACGACCAGGTTGCTAACTGCACAACTGCAGTGATCCACTTAACAATGGTGGCAAGAAAGATGGCAAAACGGGTTGGGGCGGGGAGGGGAATTCACAACTGTCTTCACTTAGCAACAAAAATTTTGGCCACCGTTGCGGTCGTAAATTGAGGACAACCTGTAAAGAAGACACCTCTGGACCTCATTGGAAAAAAAGAAAACAAAACCTGTTGAGAGGCTGGAAAAGGATTTCAGAGATTGATTTTTTCCCAAAAACCTTGCAATTTACAGCATCCTTTTTCTACAGCTAGCCTGGTGAGCTTCAGATTTTAAAGCGATGTGCTTTTTCCCTTCCATCCCTGCAGACATTCGGGGATCGAGTCCTTTATCCCGCTTCTTGGATTGTTCCACTTTTCGTGGCGCTTTCAGCCCTGGGGGCAGCCAATGGGACTTGCTTCACGTCTGGCAGGTAAAACTCAGGACAGCCTAGTCAGATGTTTTAATAATCGAGTCGCTGTATTTTTCATGACCAATGAAAGGAGTAAGTAAGCCTTGCTTCTTAGCTCGAAACTCATGACGTTGCTTTGAAGACATTGTTCTGACCGAGGCTTCCCAAGAGCGTGAAGCAAACGCCTTGTCCTGACAAAAAAAATCCTTTTATTAATTGACTGTGAATTCTGCTCATTCATATCCAGCAAAGTCTTTCCAGGGAGGATTTACAGTCACAGATCTTATCTGGCTTGGAGGCCAATATCTGCAGAGGAGTCTCGGAGAGTCACCAGCCAATTAATCGAACTAATTAACTCCTGCAAACTCCACTCCCCTTTCACTCCTCTTTTATTCCCTATGGGAGGGACCATTCACCATCCACCTGTGGCCTTACTCCTAAGTCGACCCTTGTTCCTTAGTTGTTCCCTTCGTCTGACAAATCTGTGCTTGTGCATACTGGGAACAGGCTCCAGCTGTTTGTCTGCCTCACTGATGTCTGACTCTGAAGGCAGCTGATAACTGGCATAGGGTTCTGTCCCCTTCTCTGCCAACGACCCAGAGCCCTCATCAGAGCCTTCCCCAGACTCCAGGACTGGCCCATGTTCCTCCCCAACCTCCTCACTGTCTGAATCTGCTGCCAACTCTGCTGGCCTCTGCTGGGCCACAACAGCTACTTAGCTCGAAATGCATACCGTTGCTTTGAAGACACTAAATATGCTGTCAAAACAGACTGCAGAAGCTAATCCGTTCTGTCATCAGGTGAGGCCTTGGAAAATATAAAAAGCTGTAATTTACAAGGTAAAATCTAAAAATGATGAATTTGAAATATTCCTGGCTTTTTCCAGTCTGGATCTATTTCATTCATCGGTGCTTGTTTTTTTTTAAAAAAAATCTGCAATCCAAACACAACACAAGAACTATTTTCTATCAGGCTGACGCTGAAAACTCATCCATTATGGCAAATGGTGTCTTGGGTTATATCTCTATCTCTATCTATCTATCTATCTATCTATCTATCTATCTATCTATCTATCTATCTATCTATCTATCTATCTATCAGTCTATCTGTCT